AAAGAGCAACAAAAACAGTTTACCAAATTGTTCAAATCTTTTGTCAAACTTGTGGGTGAAGTTCATGATGAACGAACCTTGATAGCATTTGAACTGTCCAAGAATTGCAAGTATTGGAGATGGCCGATGGTTAGAAAATTCCTTATAGAACGTTCCATGACTACTCATCATTTTGATGGTTGTATGTTGGGTGTTCTTGGAAACAACGGTCAACCCATGAAGAAAAGTTGGACTATTGCTGGAAACTTCAAAGAGCTCGCGGTGTTAGACTCATTTAAATGTGATGGCAAACATGAGCATGATCAAAGTAGGGGCAAAGCTCTTAAACTTGCTTAGAACTATACTTTCAAGTTGACCGACATGCTCCATGAGTGTTTCCGGGTAGCTGTGGTGGGCCAAACATCCAAAAGGATTTCACCCGCTGTCATTCGTGCCTGTCCTGCTAAAATGGCTGACTCGCGATACGCCACAGCACACCCGGCCAGCCGCGAGGCTGCGCTCGAAGCCACACGTGAGGCTAACAAAGATGCATGGTTGCTCCTTCACAATCGCATTTTGTATGCATTGGCCATGCGCAATGCAGGCGAGAATCAGGCTGCTCAGGACCTCGTGGATGGATTGATGACTGAATGGACGCCGGCTTCGGCCCTGAGGTTCTATGGTCGAGAGGATCCGCTTGCAGAATACCTTAGCTTCTGCTTTTTGCCAAAGGAGTCCCACATCGAAAAGATCATGCTGCCAGAGATGCCCGTCAATGATGTAATCTGGATCTTAGTCTCTGACTCGTCATGTGCATTGATCACAGGGCGTAGGAAAACACTTAAGAAGTTTGACCTGTCCGAGCATTACCGGCAGCGCAAACCTAAGTATGTGACTGAGTTCATCCATGAGATGCTTTGGGGCAAAACTCTGCAGAAGCTGGTCAAGCGTGGGATTGAATTGGCCGCGGACGCCCGCGAGCGCTACCCTGATGCACGCATCAACCTGCATTTGTCCTGGTTCGGGAATGAATTGGTAGGAGAGGATGGGATTGCCCAAAATCCAAATTGGCCGTACGATGGCCCCAACGGGCACTGGCCCACGATCATGGATGATTGTGAGCGCCACTTGACTTGGTACATCACTAAGGCCAAGGAGTTGGACTTGCAGTCGGCCGGTCTCACGACCGCGCCTTGGAGCGCAGATTACGGCATTCATCCCATCTTCGATCAATTTTTCGACGTCCTCGAGCCTCGATTCAGAGCTCTTACCAGCAGCCCGCAAGGGCTAGCCAATCCGAAGTATCCGTGGCTCAAAGCAAAGGGGTACGCCGATGCAATGGAATTCAGAGACCAGTGGCATTTCGCCAACTCTGAAGAAAATCGCACGCGCCTTGCTGCCTATTGGACAGCTACCCTTTTCGCAATTGATTGCGGCTGGCGGGTTGGTCGGATTGGTTTGCAGCTGTCTGAGTGTGTCCAGGAAACATGGGATGACTTGCGGAGGAACCTGAGCGCCGTCCTGGACGAGCTGCCAAGATCTTATCAGGAGACATGTGCAAGCATCACCAAGTTGCTTTTTGGAGAGTCCCGCAGACACATCACGCCGACGGGCAGGTCATTCACCAAGGAGGATGTCGAAGCACAGCAACCTGACACCGAGGACTACATCGACACCAAGACGATGCCTTCGGGCATGTTTGCCGAACCTCCCAAAGATGACCCTCCAAAGGCCGCCGGCGACGGCGAGCCCGCTGCATCCAGCAGAGCAACAATCCTGGTCCAGACGGCTGAGGTCATGTTGAAGTCGAGGCCAAACGCAGCACCAGTTCCAGTGGATGAGCCCGCAGATGACAAGAAGGCCACATCCAGCCAGTACCAGCCGCGGGCAACCGCGCGCTTAGAGGAACCTGCATCCGGCCACGTGAAAGCATATTGGATGGAAGAGCATTTGCCTGAATACCAATACACAATGGTGACCAATGCAGACGGGGATGATGTGCCCGGGATCCTCTTTGAAGGTACGGCTTATGAGCTGGAGCTGATATCGGCATCCGACGTCGAGACCATTGCAAGCCAAACTCGCGTCGACAAGAAGTTCTCCGACTTTGCAACTCGTGTCAACAAAGTTTGCAGGGGGCATGGATCCTGTTCCAAGGTGCCAATGGACAAAGACCTTTGGATCGACTTGGAGGATTTTGCCAAAGCCTTCCGCAAGGAAGTGCCCCCAGATGTGTTCATCACCGTCTCAAACCTGTTTGGCACTGCAATGAAGATCGACAAGCATGGCAAGAGTAGGTTCCAATTCTTGTGTGCAAAGATCTCCCATTTCCCTGTCGACAATGGCTTAGGTATGCCGTATTACCCTGTGAAAATTCGTGCAATTCAGGGTCACTCCGAAGCTGCCTTGAAATCCGCCGGGGGCCTTTATGCCAATTCAACCATGGTGTATTGCTCAAACCAAGTTTCCCCTGAGCGAAAAGCCGCCTTCACTGGCGTGCCCTTGTGTGCCATGACTGAGGTCCCTGAAATTGTTTTTCATCGCACGATGAGAAGCAGTTGGAAGAGCATCGCACAGAACGGCCTGATCCCAGGCGGCGGTGACACAGTCAACAGTGGCCGTGCTCATATCTACATGGCAGAACACTGTATCGGCACACAGGGATATCGATCTGGATTAAGAGCAAAATGTTCAGTCGAAGTCAAAATCGCAATGCGGCAAGCAGTTGAAGCTGGTGTCATCTTTAGTCGCACAGAAATGGATGGTATTTTGTGTTCAGAACGCATTCCACCGCAGTTTCTGGTCAGCATCTCAGAGGATGGACAGGTGCTTTGGTCCCGCGCCGAGAGCAATCTCGAGCCCACTACATGGACAGGCGCGGCATCGGCCTCAGCACCAAGTTCCAAAGCGGTCACCCTGACTGCCCGAGATGACGCAAATGACGACCCAATGGATGACACCAGCACGGGGCGACCCGATGCCACGTCCACTGATGATGCAGCCACTGCCTCAATGCAAGTTGACCAGCCGTCCGCAAGGACGCGCCGTGTTTACATTGCACCAAAGTACTGCGAACCTTTCATGGGCTCATGCCCCCTCTGCCAGGTTGAGTACGTCAGTGGCCAAGTGACATGCACCACATGTGGATACGAGCCACTCCCAGTGGACGAAAGTGGCGAAACAAAAGAGGCCGACAGATCCAACAGAAGGACCCGCATCCTTGAACGGCGAATGCAGAGCCTCGCCGGGTTCGGAATGTATGGGAAGATGAGCGGCACCCTGTTGACGGCTTTGACAAATGAACAAGCCGATCTTCTTCGCCGGGAACTGGGCCCCAGGGGAATCACATCCGTGGAATCAGCAGTCCTCAAAGACTGCCGCGATAGGCATCGTCGTGCAAAAGCGCTTGGATATGAAGATGTGGAAGACAGATTCGCAAGCGATGTCACTTTTTGCGACCGCATCCACGGTGAGGGGAAGGGCCTGCAGGATTGTATCTTTGATGATATGTTTGCATACGGCAACCTCCCCGATCCCCCAAGGACCGGAGCTCAGATCTCGGCTGGCGTCGCCGCCAATGCCCAAAATGAAAGCTGCTTATCCAAGCTGATTTTCATGTCACAGCCCCGAGGCGTGGATGGGTTCCCAGTTGAGTTCCGAAAAACATGGAAAAAGGTCTGGGGTTTCATGTTCGGCCGCCACATTTTTACAGAGGATGAATATATCAGCTACATCGGCCGTCGCGGCGCATACCGTGGCCTGTTGACCTGGAAGGGCACTGTCCAAGTTCCTTTTGATGGCACTCTTGAATTCCTCGAAAAGGTGTATGAGGAAAACCTTCCATTGGTTCGGGGCAACCTTGAACGCAAAGAGAAGCAGAGCGCCGCTGCAAAGGCTGGAGGTCCTGGAGGTCACAAGGCCGACCCCACGGTCGCGCCCACTGTTGAGCGAAAACGCAAAGCCGAAGCTGATGCATCCGCCACCACACATACTGACACAGCCGCCTCAAGCTCTGCTCGCGCAGACGCCTCGCACGCTGATGCCTCAGTTGATCCCAATAATGCACCATTTCTTGCACCCGAACCACCAACATCCAAAGCAGGAGCACGACCATTCTTGGAGCCTGAGACACCGCCCACTGCAAAAGCAGCAAGCACTGTCGCACCGAAGGCTGCAAGCTCCGGTCGCCCGGATGCCTCTTGGAGTTGGAATCGTGATCACTATGGTGCACGCCGAGAATGGAGTTTCTGGCGTGGGGCTTGGTATTACCGTGACGAGGCCGGCGGCCGGTGGATCTATTGGAACCGCAGGTAGACGATGATTTTCTTTTGTAGCATAGCGCAAGATGCGGCATGGTAATGTGCCTTCCTTGCAAAGCTGCGCTGGGTTTTACGGGCTTGAGCTTTTTATAGGGACCTTTGAAAGACTGCACAAAATGTTCAAAACCAAACAAACAGATTTGGCTACCCGCGAGGGTATGCTCTTCTGGGTCATTCGTTCTCCGCAGTCGTCCCTGCTCGCCCGAGGGGGGTGTAAAAACTCCTGCAGTAAAACCATGTAGTGTACATATCATCGTACTACTCTGTAGCGTTGGTTCAAAACAGTGCCAGCAGCTTAGCGGTTACTTGCCCCCATTAGTGTTGTAACATATTGGTGGCTGACCTTGTAAAATACATATTACTACTATAATGATTGTCAATCAAACAAATTAAAACATATTATCATCAATTTATTATAATCATTTTAATATAATAGTCACACATTAGCAATCGATAGATAATCCTATTGTTGATAGTGAACAAGATCCTATTATTACCAATATTATTATTGATGGATTAACTATTGTTGATATCAATATAGATGATTAATCTTATTAACTATTCATGGCTTAATATTATTAATAGATGATTCATCATTTCAACTGGTTAATATATATATATATATTTCAATTAAGTATAGATTATTATTGATGGTTAACATCATTAATTAAGATCCACAGCTATTGATGTCACAAAACCAGTGCAGGCCGGCGCAACGACTCGTCGGGAGATCCTGGGGCTGGCAGGTGGGACGAGATGGTGGAGAAAAACCCCAGTCATGGGTGGTGATAATGACATGTTTTTTCCCACATTGGAAAAATGTAGCTATTTAAGGTTCTATTTTTGTTATCCATGATTATTGTTGATCATGATTGGTCATTTATGGTTGTTGATGGTTACTATTGATTATTGTTATTCTTGGTTATTAATGCTTATTCTTGGCTACGATTGATTATTATTGGTGGTCATTCATGTGTATGAGTGTCTACAGAAATAACGTGACACAAGGACCTAATCATAACCCCCCCCACAAAACCTAGATCAGATGGTCGTCAATCTATTTTCACAGGGATTTATAAACCCATTAATCATTATGTTTGGATTCCAATTTTGATGGGGTAGATGACCATGAACCAGATACTATCTAACTTGACTGTGGCACATACTGTGGATGGAAGAAATCCTGCACCAGTTAATAGATGGTTTATCCCGTTGCAATCCCATTATGCACAGTGTTTCAGAATTACCAATAGTTACTAACTGCTGTAGGACTTTCTTCCACTATGGGCGTGTCTGAAAATGCGGTACCCTATTTTCCGGCCAGGCCTTGGTGCAGCCATGCACGTGGAGCCTGCGCTGGCGAGTGGCGGCTCCACGGAATGGGACGCCCAGATGGGGGGATTTTGGGAGAAAGTTCCCCGGAAAACCATCCAGAACCAACAGCACCAACCGGAATGAATGGTGATTTCATGGCTTTTTATGGGATATGATTCGATATGACCTATGGTTCAATCTAGAACTCACCAAGACTTTGAAAAATGGGCTTGGTAACTGAAGATGGGGGATGCCCCCCCCTAATATGGACATATGGCAAAGGAAAAATTGACGATAATCCAGCGGATTTTTTAGATGCCCTATTTTCAGACAAACCCAATGATAATGCCATCTTCTGATACAATTCCTTGGGTATGGGAATGGGCCAACATACTCATCCCAGCGTTTGGGTACCCAATTGTGACCCATACCCATAACATGATGTTGGGGATAAGAGACTCTCATGGTTTGGACAATAATTTTCCCCTACTTAATCTGTTACACAGAGTTGGAGGAACTATCATCCGCGTTTGGACGAAACCAACATCATGCATGCGATACTGGGTCCGGAACTACCACAACTGGGGTCCAGGAATGGACCCCGGTGTATTTCATATTTGGGGGGGACTACGAACAATGGGGGATGATGGAGGGGATGATGACCGGGAAGCTCTTTTTTTTGGTAAAGAACCAGCAAACCTGGGTATTTGAAGAATTGATATTTCATGGTATTTTATGATATTTTATGGTATTTCACCAGCAACAATGAGGGATGCGGGATGGAGATGGGTTCCGCTCATCAACAACGTTGTCGTTCATTTGGCAGTCACGGAAACTCTGGGGTCGTCGCTGAGGCTGGTAAATACTCCACTATCCCCTCGGGAAAGAGGAGATTCTATGGACGTGTCCGACAGGGATTGTACCAGCTTGGATCACAGTGTTGCTGGCAATGCGATTTGTGGACAGACATGGTTGGATGAGCCTCTGGTAATTTCACGTAGCTATGGAAAATCACCATGTTTAGTAGATAAGTAATCACACATCTATAAATGAACCATTTTCCAGTTCGCTATGTGAAACAACCAGAGGTTTTGGCAAATGTTCGGATGGCTAAACACTTGGCCACATGAGGGATGCCAAGAACCGGAGCTGGATCTGAGGTATTTGCTAATGGAGCCAGCAATTAAAGCTGGCAATCTCCAGGCTCCTGAGATTGAAGACTTTTTCAGTCCGGCTGCCCAACCCTAATCGTTGGAGATCTTCGGGTCTGTGTCTGGAAAAGTGTGTGAAAATGGGGCGAACTCCAAGTTATATCAATACAGCTTCAATGAAATATGATGATTAGTCAGCGGATTGGGGATATTGCGTAGTTTTGGGCAAAGCGATAAGATGTGCCTACTTTAACTGTATTCTGCTGGGAGAAAGAAAAGGGTGATACAGAGATAGCTCCATCACAGGGTGCGCCCGAGGCATGAACATTGTCAAGGTCAAGGGGGGCATGCCGATGAAGAATTGCGGCCGGGAAGCGCAGTTTCTGGTGTCCCTGCAGGAGTCATAGCAGAAGTGGAGCTTGGTTCACGCGGGCATGAAATTATGCATGCAGATAGGCTTGCAAAACGGTTAGACCATGTTGGACCCTTGAGGTTTTGGCGGTACCTGCAAGACGAAGGAGAAGAGGAGGGGCTCCGCTGACATGAGGGCGACATGAGTCAACATCTTCCGCAGGAAATCACCGCGTCTCCGATAGTTAATCTACTAATTTCTACCACCAATATTCCTCATGATACCACGTTGATATATATAAGATATATACATCTTATGATACTTCGCTTTGACGGCTTTGCCTAGAAATAAGTCCAAGATATGATGGTTAAATCATCATTTCCCGGCACCCGCCCTAAAAGGGGCACCAACAGTAAGGACCTCCCGATGGCTGGACTTCAAGACGGCGACCGACTTGCTGGCCTCGCGGCATTGTCAATTGCATCATTTTGAACCCACAAAAAGGATTTAAGTTGAAGAAGCATATTAATCCATATATCCAATCCATTCCAATAAAGTTTGGGTCCAACTTCATCAACTACATATCTGACATATCTACTCCATTCAGATTTTTCGCTGGTCCTATTGATGTCGAGCACCGTTAGATCGCCTGAAGGCTGGAGCCTTCAGATATGATGCGGGCGACGTCCCCGACTTCCTGCCGGGCGTTGGCTCCTCAGATGCGACCACAAGAAGTTGAAGACTTGATGGTGGATATATCTATGGTCCATAGTGATATAAATAAATAAATATATATATATATATATATATTGTAAATATATAGTGAGAGAGATATATATATATAAGTAGATTATAAAACATATCCATTCTAGTTAGCGACTTAGTTCTTCAGACACCAACAAACACAAGTGGGGGGCCTTCCTGTAGCAACCCGGTAGCAACCCGGCGCGAGGTCAAAGTCATCCGGGCCTTTGCCAAGAAGGTCTGGATCTGGGGTGGATCTGGGGCACCAGCAGTCGACGACCAGTCTATTATTTCTGGCATTATTGTTGTTGTTGTTGTTGTTGCTGTTGTTGCCGTTGTTGTTGTGGTTGTGGTTGTGGTTGTGGTTGTCGTTGTGGTTGTTGTTGTTGTTGTTGCTGCTGTTGTTGTTGTTGTGATTGTTGTGGTTGTTGTGGTTGTTGTGGTTGTTGTGGTTGTTGTGGTTGTTGTGGTTGTTGTGGTTGTTGTGGTTGTTGTGGTTGTTGTTGTTGTTGTTGTTGTGGTTGTTGTGGTTGTGGTTGTTGTGGTTGTTGTGGTTGTTGTGGTTGTTGTTGTTGTTGTTGTTGTGGTTGTTGTGGTTGTTGTTGTTGTTGTGGTTGTTGTTGTTGTGGTTGTTGTCGTTGTGGTTGTTGTCGTTGTGGTTGTGGTTGCGGTTGTGGTTGTGGTTGTGGTTGTTGTTGTTGTTGTTGCTGTTGTTGTTGTTGTTGTGGTTGTGGTTGTGGTTGTGGTTGTCGTTGTCCTTGTGGTTGTTGTTGTTGTTGTTGTTGCTGTTGTTGTTGTTGTTGTTGTTGTTGTTGTTGTTGTTGTTGTTGGGGAGACACTGTATAAAATCAACCCAGTTTTGCAATCCAACAGCAGGTTCCAGGGTTCCAGAGTTCCGTTCCGGTTTTCAGGGCCGGCAAAAAATGGCGCACCTCTCCCACACCCAGAGATTGAAACCCAACAGTCATTGTTATTGGGAATTCTGCAAGGAATGGTAGCCGGATAGCATAAACAATTTCTATTTAGTTGGAGGTTATGGGGATTCAACTTCAGCGAGGATCTTTGCGTTGAACCGAAAGTAGAGGTCCAACATCAGCGCGGGGGTTTCCATCATTCTAACGAACAGCAAGAACAGTGGGGTTTTGCCTTTGGTCTTTTTGTTCTTTTGGTCTGTTGGTAGGAGTCTCAAACCTGGTTGGACCCCGCAACTCCGATAAGGTGACAAGGATGGAGGAAGCCATCAATGAAGGCAACGTGCAGGAGGCGGCATCGGGGTTGAAACATCGGGAGTTTAGTGGTGGCTGGCCGCTGTCATTTCCATCCACTCCTAGCTGTGTTGATCCACGAATTGCCTGATGTTCTTCCGGGGGGTTAAAGACCCGGTGCAGCTGATTGTTGCAGCACATACCAGCAGATGGATGTATGGATGGATGGAGGGAGTGATGGAGGACGGATGGACGGACAGACAGATAGGGAGATAGGGAGGGAGAGAGAGAGAGAGATAGATAGATAGATTGATTGATTAGATTAGATGAGATTAGATTAGATTAGATTGGATAAGATAAGATTAGATTGGATAAGATAAGACATTGCACGCGGGTTCGGGTACACGCGCGCACCCTGAAAAGCGTCAAAGCCGCAAAGCCGCCATGGAACGCTCAAGCCGCAAAGCCGCAAAGCCGCAAAGCCGCAAAGCCGCAAAGCCGCATGGAACGCGCAAGCCGCAAAGCCGCAAAGCCGCAAAGCCGCAAAGCCGCCCGCCAAGCCGCCAAAGCCGCCAAGCCGCAGCCGCAAGCTCTGCGACTCATGCGCCGCCTCCTGCGTTCATCGCCGCTGCGTTGCCACCGCCATGGATCGCTGAAGCCGCAAAGCCGCAAAGCCGCAAAGCCGCAAAGCCGCAAAGCCGCAAGCTCTGAGACGCAGGCGCCGTCTCCTGTGTTCATCGCCGCTGTGTTGCCAGAGCGTCAAGAAGCGTCAAAGAGCCGCAAAGCGCCAAGGCGTCGAAGCACCACGAAGCGTCAAAGCGGCAAAGCTTCAAGAAGCGCCAAAGCGTCAAGAAGCGTCAAAGCTTCAAGAAGCGGCACAGCGCCGAAGCGTCAAAGAGCCGCCAACGAAAGGCTGGCTGTGCTTAGAAGGGGACGGGCTTGCTTACGGAAAGAGGTCTGCAACCAAAGGCTGGCTGTGTTTAGAAGGGGACGGGCTTGCATATTGCGAGACAATTCGTAGCGAATTCCGAAGAACAATGGCAGATGTTATGGCAACCCCCAAAAGATTGAAACGTAGCATTCGACTAAACGAATGGCAATTTTCCTTCCTATTTGGTTGAAAGATATTATCTACAATGTCCCCCCCGGTGTGATAGACAGTCCCGGCCTATGCGACACAGACCTTGCAAAAACAACTTTAAACAAGAACAAGAACAAGAACAGCAACAACAACCACAACCACAACAACCACAACCACAACCACAACCACACAACAACAACAACAACAACAACCACAGCCACAGCCACAACCACAACCACAACCACAACCAACAACAACAACAACAACAACAACAAAACAACAACAAACACAAACAACAACAAACAACAACAAACAACCAACAACCAACAACCAACAAAACCAACAAAACCAACAAAACCAACAGCACCAACAGCACCAACAGCACCAACAGCACCAACAGCACCAACAGCACCAACAGCACCAACAGCACCAACAGCACCAACAGCACCAACAGCACCAACAGCACCAACAGCACCAACAGCACCAACAGCACCAACAGCACCAACAACACCAACAGCACCAACAACACCAACAACACCAACAACACCAACAACACCAACAACACCAACAACACCAACAACACAAACAACA